TGTAGTAGTCACGTAGGTACGTGCCACTAGTTGTAGTATGACAATATATCCCCGTATATATGCATACTTTTTCACGAGTTCCTCATCTTTCTGACTGTGTAATGTCGTGCCTTGAATTTAACAGAAATGTAACGAGAGACGTCATTTATCTTTGACCCATCAAATGAATGCGGTCATTTATTTTCAGAATCAAAGTTTAACATCAAACATTTACATTAATTTGGCAAAATATGAAAATAATAACAGACAAGTTTCACAGAAAATGAGCTTCGAATCACTCGGCGGTGATCGAGGACTTTGCTTCAGATATTCCTAAGATATCTGTACTGATTTTATGAGAAAGAGGAGAGTTTTAAGATGAAATGGAGTTATCTTACAGAGAGATATGTGAGGGAATTAATCTGTTTGACCAGAAGTTGCACGCTCCATGAGATCTCAGCTTGCCTCCGGTACACTTTAGTCGAAGAGGAGACCGTTACCTGATTGACGTAGGTCAGCTCGATAGAGAATCCTCCAGACTTTTTCCAGCGTCTCCGTTGAGGACTACCAAACCCTCAGAGAGTCGTACGTGGTTTTCAAACAGAAATTATAATTCCAAAACGTCTCTGGATCATCTTGAATGCGTTTGCACCCAAGAATTCTGAACTCCCTTCATTCTTCAGAACTTCTCAGACTCTTAATTGTCAGCAACTCTGTAGTTCTTCATCTCTGGAATTCTCCGGAATTCTACAGAATTCTCTCCATTCTGATTCTGAATTCTCTAACATGAACTGGGAAGTTGCCACATTTTAAATGGGTCGACTTCCGGTTCAATTTAGAGCTTTCTGATTCGTGGATGTACCAGAAAGAGGTGTGTTTTTGTGACGTAAGATGTTATCTAAGCCAAGGTCAGAGAATGAGATTGTTCAACAACTGACAGAGAGATTATTGCAGAAAAGCAGACTTCGTGGAGTCAACTCCTCTGTATCTTCTGTGGTGATTAAACATGACATTTCTTTTTCAGTAAACATTTAGTTGACCGAAAATTCAACTTTCACATACTTACGTTGCTTGGCTCATTTCAGACAGAAAATCAAGAAATGCATATTAACCTGATTTCTTCTTTGAATGAGGAATAAAAATCATTACTTACTGTTTATGTAAAATAAAAATGAGTAGTTCTTTTCAACCTGTAACATTGAGTGGAACTAACACAATTTGATTATTAAACATTTGTAATACAGTAATGATTATAGAGAATTGTCTTTTCTGCTTGATTAATTCAAGAAAGAAAGTCACCAGATGGCTCAGACTGTATTCAGATCAATGAAAATAACAGTCTCTGTCCATCTGATAGATTTGAGGTCATCAGGGTCAGATCAGGGTCAGATCAGGTTCACTACACATCCACACTCTCACTCACATCTAGCAACAATTTAGAGTTAACAATTAACCTAACATGCATGTTGTTGGTCTGTGGGAGGGAAACCCCATGTGCACTGTGAGAACACGCAAACATACAAAGGCTCCAGCTGATAGTTGAACCTGTGACCTGACTGTGAGGCGACAGCTCTAACCACTGCATTTCTGAGTTACGTATAAAAATAAAGTAATGAGAGCATTATCAATATCAGGATTGATACTAAGACTTATTATTGGTTTTAATGGAGAGTGGGGGCAATGCTGTAACCAAAATTAGATTTATATCCTATATGAACAGACAAAATATGAACACTGGTAATCTGTGGACCAACAATCTATTCTTTAGTAAACGATAAACACCATATATATTCCTGGTAGTTGAAATTGCACATTTCCTCTTTATTCAATAGTTTGATATTTTTGCATATGTGTGTTTGTGTAGATTTTGTCTGGCTGTAGTGTGCTGCAGACCTCCAGCTTGTTTCTCCGCTGTGCCCACCTGGTCTCTCCCGATGCGTTCCTGTCACTGTGTCAGAAGGAGGCCTGCTACTGCAACCAGAAGGCCACAGAAGACTGCTACTGTCCGGTCTTGTTGGAGTACGCTCGCACATGCCATGCTCACGGGGTGCTCCTGCACGGCTGGCTGGAGGAGAGCCAGTGCTGTGAGTTTATCAGAACTTCAGAAGCAGAAATAAATGAGATTTTTAAAGTGACATCTGCAGGGAATATGGTTTTCGATCTGCAGTTCCCAAGTGTCCAATTGGCATGCAGTACAGTGAATGCACCAAGTCCTGTTCTACAACCTGCCACAGTCTCAACATACAGGAGGTCTGCAGAGAAGAATGTGTGGATGGCTGCACATGTCCCAGTAAGCCCTCACTCTCTGTATTTCTAACTCTCCTCTCTGTTGTAGCGTTGTTCTTCGTAACTTTACATGCACATGTTTTTCAGGTGGGAAGATTTTAGATGGTAATCGCTGTGTGGAGGTTTCTCAGTGTTCCTGTGCACACATGGGGCGACATTTCCCTCCAGGGTCTACAATATCTCAGGACTGTAATACATGGTAAGAGATAATGAGCATACATAGATTTATTAATCACATGAACAGTGTCTCACTGTGTTGATTTACTTTGTTTCTAAAGTGTGTGCCGCCACGGATCCTGGGAATGTACCAACGAAGGTTGTCCCGGTGAGACAGATGTCCAGCAGTAGTATTTTAAATTTTGCATGTTGTTGAGTTTCTATTCTGCATTTGAACCTTTTTCTCTGTGTAGGGGAGTGCTTAGTTGTTGGCCAGTCTCACTTCAAGACCTTTGACAACAAATTTTTCACCTTCACCGGCCACTGTCAGTATCTGCTGGCAAAGGACTGCACACATGGAGAGTTTTCTGTCATAATTGAGAATGTACAGGTAAAAAAAAAAATCTTCCTTTTTTTTAGCCAAATTTAAAATGTACTATTTGTTTTACACAAATTAAGACAACAATAATTTACTGTAGTTGTATTTTATCTAAAGTGTTTTGTTTGTTGTGTCAGTGTGCAGACGATCCGGACGCTGTTTGCACGCGTTCAGTGACGCTCAGCCTTCCCTCTCTGGAGAACATGACGGTGAAGCTGAAGCATGGAGGAGTTGTTTCTGTCAACAGTATGGACATCCAGACCCCAATGCACCATGGTACGCCATTTTGAAAACATACTTTTCTCTGTACATGAAATAAGACCTAACTTAACTTAGAATGAAACCCATAGAATATCTTCAGATTTTAGATCAAATGAATGATACATCAAAGACATGTAGAGGTGTTATCTAGATCAGCAAGGAGTTTTTTGGTTTGTTTAAACTTTTATTCTTATTTTTAATTTAAATAGCTTACCCTTTGTGAATGCAATCTCACAGGTCACCTACATATTGCAAGGTCCGCTCAGTCTTCTGTTCGTGTGAGGTTTGGTGACAACCTCCGTCTGGATTGGGACGGTCGAGGCCGCGTGCTTCTAAAGGTGGAACAAATTTCTAAACTTTTTTTACTCATTAAACTGGTTTAAATTGTAGTGAACCTGATCTGACCCTTATCTGACCCTGATGACCTCAAGTCATCAGATGGCTCAGACTTATTCAGATCAATGAAAATAACAGTCTCTGTCCATCTGGTAGATTTGAGGTCATCAGGGTCAGATAAGGGTCAGATCAGGTTCACTACAAAATCATAAATCGACAGACAGTGCTGAAGTCTCTGTCATGTTCCCTAGCTGGGACCACGATGGGCAGGGCAGACCTGTGGTCTCTGTGGAAACTACAATGGAAACCATGGAGACGACTTCCTGTCTAGTTCTGGACTGGTTGAAGCGACTCCTCAGGCGTTTGGTCAAGCTTGGAGGATCAATGGAGATTGTGAACCTACGCACAAGCATGAAACGGATCCCTGTGCCATTAACCCCAAAAGAGGTATCCCCTGCATATTCACAAAGTAAAAACAGATAAAATGACATCAACCCATAATCCTCTGTGATTTCAGTGCGTTTTGCAGAAGAGGCATGCGCAGTGATGATGTCAGACGTGTTCAGTCCGTGCCACTTTCTGGTGAACCCGGCTCCGTTCCAGAGGTTTTGCCGTTATGACGTGTGCGCTTGCGGGGATGGCGAGGAATGCCTCTGCTCTGCTCTGGCTGCTTATGCTGCTGCTTGTTCTGCACGAGGGGTGCTGCTCAACTGGAGGTCTCCTTCACTCTGCGGTAACTCTCACAGCTGACCAAGTGCATACACCAGTAAAAACAAACTCAGTTCCATATTTTGTGCAGAATTCTGGTTGTGCATTAGAAGTTCTGGGAGCAAACCAGTTCATTACATGTTTAACCTTTACTTTTTGTTTGATATTATAGATGTTGAGCTCAGATTTAGACCATGTTTTAAAATAGTTCTGTTTTTAAGAAATCACATCTAGTCTTTTTGGCGATACAGTAATATTGTGCCGAATTTTTAACCTGCATGTCACTCTGCAAATTTAGGATATAATTTCTCCAAATAAATTAAAAATCTGGTCAGTGGATACTAATTAAAACTTGACATTTTGGTTTGTAGAGTTTTTTTGTACCACAACAGAAAAAAATTAATCCAACCTAATCTTTCTTTGTTTTGCCTAAAGTAAAACATGTTATGAAACAAAGATTGAAATCTAATTTAATCTAATCCAGTTGTGGTGTGTTGACATTAGAGATGCAGTGCTCCAGAGGTCAGGTCTATGAGGCCTGTGGGAATTATTGTGATCGGATGTGCCGCTCTCTGTCCGAGCCTGAGCCCGGCTGTAAGGGGGAGAGGGTGTGTGAGGAGGGATGTTTCTGTCCTCCTGGGAAGTACCTGAGCACCTCTGGAGAGTGTGTGACAGCCGACTTGTGCTCCTGCCAGCATGATGGACAGATCTACCAGCCCAATGATGTCTACGCGGATCACAACAGCATCTGGTGTGTGGCTGTGCATCAGTATGCAGAAACTGTGCTAAAATCATGCTTCATGACTTCACTGCTCTCACTGGTGTTTGTTTTTGTGTCTGTAGCTCCTGTGAGAATGGCTCTATGCATTGTAGCTCCACTGAAATGGCTTCATTTCTGTCCGATCTCTTCTATGATGATGAAACAATCCCATCCAGAGGTATAATTGCACCGTTTTGGACAAACCTCCAAACTTCAGTAATTTTTTCTATTACGACTCATATTCATGTGGTAATTCATCCACTTGTCTTTGGGATTATCTTTATTGTTATAAATCCAGATAAGCAGTTTATATCCTCTAAATGACATATGTGTGTCTCTGCAGGGCGGCGATCAGCCCAGTGTCCCCCTCCCCTTATTCGTACAGAGTGTAATCCAGGTGAAAAGGGCCTGGAGTGTGCCAGAACTTGCCAGAACCTGGACCTTCCTTGTATCAGTCTTGCCTGCATCCCCGGCTGCCTCTGTCCACCAGGCACTGTAAGTGTGTTACGCTGTGTTTGTTAAACAGCAAACGCCTTAGCAGGAGCAATGCTGATTGATTAATGGATTGATTTCAGGTACGTCACCGCAGGGACTGCATTCCACCAGAGCAGTGTCCCTGTTACCATAACAACAGACCATACGCAGCCGGACAGACCATCGGCGTTGACTGCAACACCTGGTAAAATGACGATCTGCACGCGAAGCAAGATACCAAAAGTGTTTTTCTAACACGTTTTGTGTTTTTGCAGCGTGTGTGAGAACAGGAAATGGCGATGCACAGAGAAGTTGTGTGATGGTGTGTGCCGCACAGTGGGGGAGGGGCATTACATCACATTTGATGGCCTAAAGTACTCCTTTCCTGGTCTTTGCCAATATGTCCTGGTCCAGGTATAACAAAAACAACAAAACAACTGTTTTAGTCCTCATTACTAAATGAGATGGTATTTATGCAAGTTTTTTTTTAATGAAAAGGACATGTGTCATGGAGAGGAGGGTTCCTTCAGAGTCTTGGTGGAAAATGAAGCCTGTGGTATTGTGGGTCATCGCTGTGCGAAAGCAATTACAGTTTTCTACCAGGGTGGGCTGATTGTACTGGAACATGGAGAGGTGATGTACAATACCAAAACCATTTAATATACACATTTATATTTAGCTATTGTACATTGTTAACAGAATCATATATAAACTGCCTAGCTGAATGTATTTTTGTAGATAAACTGAATATTCACTTAGGCAATAAAATATTCTTCATTAAGTTACTAATAGACTCAAATGTTATAGTTAACAATTATTGTAAGTTGTCTATGTGGTTTTAAATACAAACATGCACATTTCATACAGTCAGCATCTGCCTGCATGTCTGTGTCATCAATTCTAGGGCACATTTTATTTACACATGACACATTTGTAACTTTATTTCCTTTAATTTGGCTATTTAAGCATGCATTTGAGACTTGACATTTTGAGTGTTGCACATGCATCCACAGGTGAAGATGAAGAGGCCAGTGCCGCAGAGTTCACAGGTGGAGATCGTCCGATCTGGTCAGTTTTACACCCTTCTGCTGGGGAAACACATCTCCCTCAGCTGGGACAAAGGAACTCGCATCCTGGTTCACATCTCAGCTTCATACAGGGTACAGATGTGCTATGGGACAAAATTCACTTTTTGTGTGTATTTTTCAAGTAGTACACATGCAAATTTGTGTCACATTTACTTTACTGTGTAAAGGGGCGTGTGTGTGGTCTTTGTGGTAACTTTGATGGGAACATCAACAACGATTTGATGAGCAGTAACCACCAGCTGGAGGTGGACTCATCACACTTTGGGAACTCCTGGAAGGTCGTTCCCAGCTGTGCTGATGTAACGGAGGTAACGTCTAGGAGCATTAAACTATTTTCTCTATGTAGAGTTGCATATCTGCAGTCACATATTTCTATGACTTACTAGATAGCATCTCCCTGTGGCAACAACATTGTGAAGATGGTTTCAGTGGAGCAATCGTGTCACGTGTTCACTGGTCCCCTCTTCAAAGAATGCAACATCCAGGCACGTTAAAGTATCATTACACTAGACATCCTATGACAAATTTTCACTTTAACCTTTACACTCTGTCTCCAGGTGGATGCAGAGCCATATGTGGAGATGTGCGTGGAGGCAGCATGCTCGTGCTCATCAATAGGCGACTGCGCATGCTTCTGTGATGTAATTGCGGCCTATGCTCAAGCTTGCTCAGAGAAGGGTGTGTCCGTCATGTGGAGATCCAATGATCTTTGTCGTAAGTGTGGAGAATTCCTTCAATATTGGTGTGAAAATATCATCATGGTTGCTTGATCACTCTAAATCAGTAATCCACATCCTCTAAGCTGCTGAAACCAAAGATTTGGGCTGGTTTTGTTGACTGAATAGGTGTTTCAATTAAAATACATATAAATGATGAATAAATATCAATTATTTATGCTTATGAACATAATGGTCAAATGTAGAATACTATTATGCACCCGTGTCAATGATTAACTAGTTCAACTTTCACTTAACCCCTAGCCATGAGCTGTGAGGAACTGAACCCTAAGATCTCAGGTGCAGGGGAGGAGATATGCCAGTGGAGGTATAACTCATGTGGTCCTGCCTGTCCAGTCACCTGCCAGCACCCAGAACCACTCCACTGTTCACTTGCATGCGTGGAAGGCTGTCATGCTAACTGTCCTGCAGGTGCCAAAAACTGTACACAACTGTCACAAATGCAAAATGTGCATAAATTGATCAAATAATTGGACATTCTTCCTATTCTTTTAGGTCAGCTTCTGGATGAGGTGGCTATGCGATGTGTAGATCCTTCTCAGTGTCAAGTGTGTATCCATGAGGGTCAGAGAATCTCCCATGGCAACAAGGTCATCCTGAATCATGCTGACCCCAACCACTGCAAGATATGGTAATGCTGAGAATATTTAAAAGTTGTGATAGCTTGGCTTGTTTTTTTTTAAGTTTAGGGAGCTGATTTTATGTTGTTTTCTTTGTCTTTCCCAAAGCCACTGTGAGAACAACTCCCTGAGCTGTGAAGACTGCACTTCTCTCAGCACGTTTTCTACACCCACACCAACACCGTCTTATGGCACCTTCACAGCCATGCCCTTCTCCACCTTGATGCCCGAGGGCACGTGTGATCGTGCCATGGATCTGGCTTTTTTGCTGGATGGTTCTGAAGCCCTGAGCGAAGATGAATTTCAGGCAACTAAAGAGTTCATACTGGGAGTGGTGGAACGGTTCAGAATGGGCTCAGCGCACACTCGAGCCACAGTGCTGCTTTATCACTCTGGAGTTAAAACATATGACCTGCAGGTATATTCAATACAATGTGCAAGTGTGACCAAACAAACCTTATTACTTGCTCCTCATGAAATGACAATATTCTCTTATGTAATGAAATGGTGCAAAATATTTTCTTTGCTTCAAAACAAATTCTAAATAAAATTATTGAAACTTATTTACAACGAAATGTCCTTAATAAACCCATAAGGACTGTTACTGCTGAAATTACATTGCAGATTAAGATCTGTAATAAAATTAATTATTAATTAATCAATTTGACTTGCTATATTGCGTACTGTAGACCAACGCCTTGTGTTATTTAAAAGAAAAACTTGTAGTAACTAGACAAAATGTGTACAGTTACCCAAATATAAATTGTTGCACAAAGCTTTCATCTGAATAAAACATTTAGTTGCGACTTTGAAGCTACATGCAGCCAAAAAGGATTTATGCCCTGTTGTCTGACCTTCTGCGTTTTTGTGCTTTGTTTATGGATGCAGGTCCAAAAGTGGCTGTTCAAGAAGACCGTGCGTGAGCTTCACTACACTGGTGGAGATGCAGCCTTCCTTGACGAGGCTGTCAAATATCTAGCCATCAACATCTATGATAAGAACAAGCGTGAACATGCTGGTCGTGTTGCCATCATCTTGACTGCCAGTAGTAACCCTCGTCCCGTTCGTGCCATTGTAAAGATGATCCGTAAGAAGGCCATCACTACTTTGACATTGGCTCTAGGTCCAGGGGTAGACATGAGGCAAATTAATGACATCACCAGTGCCAACCCAGACAACAGGGCCTATGTGCTGAGCAGCACAGGAGAACTTCCTGATCATCTGTTAGACTTGACAGATTACCTCTGCACTTTGGGGATGGAGCCTGAAGGGCCGAAAACTCCAAAACCAACACCTGCCAAAACCACAACCACCCCTCTAACAGCATCACATGTAGAGCCAAGCCATCATTTCCCCATCTCCACAGCTTTCACTACATCATCTACATTGACTCCTGTTGCCACCTTGCCTTCTGACCACCCTCCAGTCACAGATGTGACATTCATCCTGGAAGGTTCTGACTCTGTTGGAGAGGCCAACTTCAACAAGTCTCTAATCTTCCTGGAGGAAGTTATATCACAGTTGGCAGAAGAGGAAGAGTTCATTCTCATCACTGTTATTCAATATTCTGTAACGGTCACTGTGGAGATCCGTCGGTGGGAGCTAAGACAGCAGAGATACCACTTGATGCAAAGACTTCAGGAGATTCGTTGGAGAGGCGGAAGCAAGACAAACACTGGAGCAGCTGTCAGTATGACTAAAGAAATCACGAAAATCAAACCATCAAGCAGTCCCACCAAGCCTCAGCTTGTCTTTCTGGTGACAGAAAACCCACCTACCGACACAGTGACACGTCCATCAACTACAAACACCCAAACAAACGTGTATCCTATAGGTGTTGGACCAAATGTGCGTGAAATGGACTTGTTGTCATTTAGCTTCCCTCACCAACCAATGATGGTGGATGACTACAACCATCTAACAACTCTAGTCCATCGTGTGGTCAACATCACACAAACCACTGTCAGGCCCCGATCACCTACACTGCCTCCCCTAGTCCTCCCAACACACTCCACCCTGCCACCAACAGGTAAAACTAAAAAAACACCCTATTATCAGTTAATTCAGAATGAATCCAGAACCCATGGTAATGTGCAAAACTTGCCAAACAGTGCCGTGTAAGAAGCCTGTGGATGTGTTGTTCCTGTTGAAGGCCGGAGACCAGTTTGAGGATATGAAGACATTTGTCAAAGCTTTCATCAGTCAGTCTGACATAGGTGAGTGTGACTCAGCCCTTCAGTACAGTGCTTCTGTCCTATTTTAATGTGCACGTTTTATTATATTTTTATTGTTCCCACCTGGTTCCTGTTAATCAGGCTCCCACTGTTGAAAAACATCATAGAGGTGGAAGATACAGATGCAGAGTAGCAAAGCAGGTGTCAGGCAGATAAGAAAAACAGTAAAAATGACGCAAGGCATCCAGAAAACAGACCTAAACTTTCAGCTTTAGTTCATGCACAATTATTTAGTTATACCTATTTGTCATTTTACGTTTTTGGGTTCCGTAGTTCTGTCGTTGGCACACATTCTGTTTTATGATGCAAGTTTTAACTATGAGTCATCTGTTTCATACTGTAGTATCCAGTTTTTAACTCCAGATAGAGTTTGTAATACAAGGCAACAACATACAGTGTGTCAATATGCTTGATTCTCTCTTTATACACAGGACTGAATGGCACTCAGGTGAGTTTGGCTCAGTATGGAGAGACCAACATGGCTGAGTTTACGTGGAAGAATCAGCAAAACAAGTCAAACCTCCTGAATCTGGTGGACAGCATCCCAAGCAGGGCCTCTGCAGCCCCAGCCCTGGGTAGTCATCAGCAAGCAATTATGCACACATATCAAAGCCGACGCACACACTCACTGTGGTCTCTGTCTGCAGGGTCTGCGTTGCGATTCGCCTTGCAAACATCTATCTCACCTGCCAGCGGTGGGAGAGTTGGTGTACCCAAAGCTGTGGTGATGCTGGTGACTGATAAATCCACAGATGATGTCAAAGAGGCAGCTAAGGAGGCACTGGCAGCAGGTAAATTATAAAAAGCAATTGTTTAAAAAGGTAACATTTAAAAGCTGTCCTTCATTTATGTCTTTTCCCTCAGGTGTGTCAGTGTTCCCCATTGGAGTTGGATCAGTTTATGACACTAGCGAGCTCAGAGTACTAGGTCGCCATGCCAACCAAGACAACTCTCTGCACCTGAAGAACATGGATCAGCTCAGGATATTTCTGACTTTGGACAACAGCTACACAGAGAAAATCTGCAGGGGTGATTATTCACACAAATACAGTTTTATCCCCTCAGCAGCAAAAACGTGTGTTCTCCTTTATTATTTAATGTAAATAAATGAAGGTTTTAAAAATTATTAAATGAGAAATTTAAAATATTCTGTGCTTTGCTTATAGCTGGTCCACCAGGGGTCTGTGTTGATGATAACGGGAATGAGAGAAAGGTGGGTTATAGCTGCGGCCTTTCACATTTTTTTTACAGAATCACTTCAAATAGTTTCACACTTCATGTGTTACAGCCCGGTGAATCATGGCTGCTGGCAGACGGCTGCCACTTCGTCTTGTGTCACCCCAGTGGAGCAGTGATGGTACAAAATCACAAAGTCAGCTGTGACAAACTGGAGGCACCAGCATGCAGAAACAACATGCAACCTGTCAGAGCCGAGGGGCCTTGTGGCTGCCACTGGGAGTGTCCCTGTACGTACACCAAATAGGCTCTGGAGAGAACTTTAACCCATCTATAAAAAGTGCACATCACAGCCCAGCTGTTGTTAACAATATACATTGAGAGCAAGCATTCCACTCTATTATTAGATCATGTTCCTGGTTCCACTTGTCACTCCCTATCTTGTGTTTATTGGCAGGCATGTGTATGGGCAGCTCCACCAACCATGTGGTGAGGTTTGACAGCTTGGCTCTCAGGCTGGACGGGGAGGGTTTGTGCTCCTACACGCTTTTCACCATCAGCAAAAGCATCACTCAAAGCTCAGAGATCAAGCTTCACACTGGACCTTGTCAAGACTCAACAAATTATAACCAAATCTGCATGAAAGCCATGGAGGTGACACATGGACAATATAAACTGATGCTGAAGGATGACATGACGGTAAACTCCATGTTTAATCCGTTGGTAAATGAGAGTGTATGAAACTTAATTTATTCACCGTTTGGGTGTTTTCTGAGCAGGTCATGATGGATCGGGAAGAGCTTGCGTTGCCATGGCGATTCGGTGGCATGGCGCTGGTGCGCTACGGAGGAGTGATACTGCAGCTGAAATCAGATCTGGGCTACATTTTGACTTTTACTCCTCAAAGCAATGAGTTTACCATCTCGTTACTCAGCTCGGCTGCCAGCGGCCACACTGCTGGACTCTGCGGTAACACAAACACAGCGCTGTTTGCCCACAGCTATCAAAAAGACGTCAGAAGTGAAAAGTGTCTCTACCTGTCCCTGTTGGTTTTGGCCTGTTGTCCCTTGAGTTGTATTCTCTATACCTTTCTCACAGGTGCTTGTGGGGAGGAGAAGGGTAAAGTCCTCTCTTTACGTAATGGCAGCACAACCACCAACCAGCCGGACTTCATCTCAGACTGGACTATGGCTGCAGGTGGTGGTGTGTGCCTGCCCAAAGGGAAGGCAGTGTGTATGTCTGGAGTGGCGATGGGATGTCAGGCCCTACGTTCTGAGGTCTTTGAACCATGCCACGCTCACATTGCCGTCCAGCTTTTCCTCATCATGTGTGAAGAGCAGGCATGTGAGGAGTCAGATGTATGTGAGGTCATTTCTGCTTACGCACGTGCCTGTAGACAAAAAGGTGTGTGCGTGGACTGGAGGAGCCCCCATCTCTGTCGTAAGTCGATGTCTGTGTCTTTCGTTTCAGGAGAATTATTCTAGTGCCTGAATTTACACCTTAACTTTATCGTCTTCTGTGTTGCAGCATACAAATGTCCAAGTTCCATGGAGTACGACGCGTGCCGGACAGGGTGTGTAGCGGACTGTCAGAGCATACAGGCATTACCAGGCGACTGGGCGGTTGCCAGGGGTAACGAGTCATCCTGTTTGAACACACCTACTGAAGGCTGTTTTTGCACTGGAGGGACGCTTCTGCATCATGGACAGTGTGTCTCACCAGAAGCATGTGGGCAGTGCGTCGACCATCAAGGACACACGTATAGAGTGAGACAAGAAAAACTGACTTGAGTTTTAAAGGAATAATGCAAAACCTAAATGAAGTTACTTAAACACAAATGATCACATGCTTACAATTTGTGTTTTGCAACAACATGTGATGTGGCTGCCCTCTGGTGTTTAATTCTGTTTTGACCAAACGTTACACTAAAAGCAACATTTCTTGTCTGTTTGTACAGTATATGCAGAGTTGGGTGCCAGATGACAACCCATGTTTGATTTGCATGTGTTTGGACCAACAACGCACCAAATGCACAGCCAAGCCCTGCGATGATGTCAAAGGTTTTTCTGTTGCTTCTTGTTTTACTTGTTGCATCAAAGTTTATTGGGACCACCCCAAAAACAACAGAAACTTTCAGATATATAATCCATAAACATATATATATATTTATGTGTGTTTGTTTTCAGCTCCTGTATGTGGACCTTGTGAGATCGTGAGGGAGAAGAAGGGATCCAAGTGCTGCCCTGAGCATGAGTGTGGTATGTAAATATATACATAATAATTATTATAAGTATGTTTTAATTCTGGTCCTAATGTTTTAATAGCTTCATCAAATGAGAGATGAATAACAGATTTATTTTTTTAAATGGACATGGGTATTTCCAGAAAAATCACATCTCATCAACGTGTATCATATTATTTAGAAAAGTTATATAGTTTTGTTTAGAAAAGTATTTTTAGTAAACTCTGGACTTTGTTGTAGATTAATAATTTAATAAACAAAAAACTGAGACTCGTAAACATTGTGATATTTTTAGTTTGTAAATAACATAGTAATAAACTTATTACATTTCTTGGAAGCTTGAGTCACTTGATTGATCTGCATAAGGCTGTCTGTAATCTATTACATTTTAATCATCAGTTATTTTTTCCAGAAAAGACTGAACTACACCAAATTTGTTTCAATTTAGAATGTTTAAAAAAAATTATATTCCTATTCTGCACTACAAATCTTAGCTAAAATATGAATCAATGCATACATTTGAGTGAAGCTTTACATCTCAAGCAGCTCTTCCATGGATGCTGCCATTGTTTATTTCTGTAGGTAAAATAACAAGCGTGGTATTTGGCATCTGGTCATAAATTTTTTTAAATTCAAGAATACATGAACCATCAATATAAAAATCAATTTGCACAGATTTTGTATCTTGTGATTTCTTTTGACTGGTCTTCATGACATTGCAGCGAGTAGTTTTTAAATTTAGTTAGGCTTTTGTGTCATAATGTAAAAAGAAAGTTCAGTACAAATCTGCTGGCTGCGGTTTAATCGTGCAGTTTGCATGTTTAGTTGGTCATGCATGAATGTTCTGTGTGCTCAGAATTCCTCCTCCAGTTTTATGAAATATTAAAACAGTGTCTCCGTTTAGAGTAGATGCTTTGAACCCATCCTTGATCCTTCACATGATACACATAATTAAACAATTTATTTGCCCCGTCTAATTATAATTTAGGAAGTTTAGTAATTTTTTTTAATTCAAGGTGAATAAACAATTAAAATCAGAAATTGAGTAATGATTGAACACACTAAGATATTTAACTATTTTTCTGCAGAACTGATCTAATATATGATTTAACTGTTTTCTTCAGTACCGCAGTTTAAACTTTTAGTCATTCAAAAAGAAATGATATTGATTTTACATTCCTATTTCATCTTTCAGCAACACCTCACACTTGCGTGTATTGTGATTCACAAATGTAAATGTTACTAACCCGGATTTCTGTATGACTCCAGTGTGTGATCTTGCGAGCTGTGACCTGCCTGAAGCGCCGCGCTGTGAGGACGGTCAAACTGTGGTGCTGAAAAACCCCGGCGAGTGTCAGCCCATTTACGAGTGTGGTAGGCTGATATTCACCTCGATGTCTTTGCTTCCTTCTGTTGGACACACAAATACCTGCACATCAATATATGTTTCATCATTTATTTTTCTGCCTCAGTGTGCAAAAGGGAAGCATGTACCCTTCAAGCTCCTCCCGAATGCCCAGCTCATCGCCAGCTGACAGTGAAGAAGACTAAATGTTGTGATGAACTTGAATGCACGTGCAACTGCAAGAACTCCAGCCACACCTGCCCCACTGGGTTTGTCACTTCCTCCTTTACCAACGACTGCGGCTGCACAGATGTGCACTGCCAGCCTGACAAGGTGAGTCACCTCTGAACTTAATGTGTGCACCTGTGCAGTTGGATTCACTGTGCATCCTCTGCTGCGCTTCCAGGTGTGCGTTGTCGGTGGCGTCGTTCATCTCGTGGGAAGCGAGTGGGAGGAAGGGTGCGAGAAATGCACGTGCACTGAACTGCAGGACGAAGACACGTCGCTTCACGTTGCTCAGTGTAAACCTCCTGTTTGCGATCAGAACTGCCCTCTGGTGAGACGTCATCAAATATGGACATTTACACAAGTGAAAAATAGGAAGTAATTTTTTTTTGTGTACATTTCAGGGCTCAGTTTACACTCGAATGAAAGGAGACTGCTGTGGAAAGTGCGTACCCACCAGCTGTGTGGAGACAGGGGGAGATATGAGAGGAGACAAACTCACTGAGGGACAGCTCAAAAATGTATGACTTTAAAACAGTTTTTTTTTAAATCTAGGAATTCTGGAAATTGTATTTCTCTTCAGAGAAGGACATTTATACACTGTAAAAATTGTAATTTCTATTAATGACATTTTTGTCTCCAACTCTGCTTTTAGGTGGGTGAAGTGTGGCAGTCCCCACACGATAAATGTGTCTTGCTCCAGTGTCTGAAAGTGAATGATGAGGTGTTCATCTCTCCAACCAACATCAGCTGTCCCAATATGGACACTCCGACCTGCCCGCTGGGAACCGAACTCCGCTGCGAAACCCAGGACTGCTGCCCCCGCTGCCATTGTGGTAAACACACGTGCATTTATGTAAAAATGAATAAATACTGTAAATAGAAACAGGAAACTCCAGGTTAGAAGACAAGGCCGAGCAATAATGTTTTGTGTCTGTGTGCTTGTTTTTATCTGTTACTAAAATATTATTTGAACCACTCGAGATTTTTTTATTTATTTATTAGAACTGTAAGAAGTACATCTATAGCTGAATAACTTTTGACGTCAATCCAATTCAAGATGGCTGCCACAACCATCTCACATTAAAAAAAAATGTCAGTTTTACAGATATTGAGCTGAACTTTGTTGTTCTAGTAACTGAGACTGATCCTGAACATATTCTGAGCACTAACAAAGTGCACAAGGCCTTTGTCAGAAATGTTGTCTATACCTATTTGGAGTCAATTTTATCTGTTAGCAAAATACCTCATGACCAACTGGACAGATTATTAAACCTTTCAGAAATTATTCATTGAATGTACATTTACACATTATTATATTTTGGAGCCAATCCAATTAAAGTTTGCCACCACAGCCAACTGACCTAAGAAAACACGCAAATTGCTATAACTCCCTTCACTTATAGTTACAGATATTGACCTAAATTGTGGTGTGGTAGTAGCTCAGAGTCATTAACAAAACATACTTCAAGTGCTACTCATTAAACATGGGCTTTGCTTAAAACTTCAGCATTACTTGCTGGAGCTAACCCAGTCAGTCTGTTAGCAAAGAACCTCATGAACTACTGGATGGATTTTAATAAAACATTCAGAAAGTAATCATTGGATATACATCTACAACTGATTAACTTTTGAAATCGATCAGATTGAAGATGGCTGTCACAGCTAATCAACATTAGGAAACACAAAAAATAGTTATAACTCAGTTATTCTTATTCACGTTGAGCTAAAAACTGATGTGGTAGTAGCAGAGTCATTCCCAACACAGACTCTGATTATGATGTCTTGTGATGTCATTTGGAGTTTCAAGGTTTGACCTGAATTACTACAACACTATCATTTCACAACATTAAAATAACTTCATCTTAAATTCAGCATAAAGGGCAATGGGTGAAATCCATTCCTGTAAGTAATGCTGGAAGTCTTTAATTTTGATCAACTTTTACTGTGTTTGAGTTGCAGTTGAAGAATTTATCCAGCAGATGTCTCTATCAAGCTGCTGACAGTTTATAACTAGTTGACCTTAAGTGACCTTTTATAAAAGCTAGAGTTTAAAAACTGACCGGGACAAATATTTCTGCTCCTCTCCTCAGCTCCTATGAATGCCTGCGTTCTCAACCAAACTGTGATAGGAGTAAGTTGTTCAGAGATGACTTTCTTACCAGTATGAAATGTTTTTAGTACTGCCTGTGTCTTATCTTTAAATACCGCTTACGTGTTTGTGCAGGCGGGGGAGAGAAGGATGGTGGATGCATGTACCCACTGTGAGTGCACAGTGCAGACTGGTTCAGTGACAAAATATAAACTGTCCTGCAAACAAACCAGCTGTCCAGCTTGCCCCAAGGTTCGTCATTATGTCAATATCTTCCATCTTGACCATTAGCGTTTTCCTTCTTCCCCCATAACTTATTGATAAATTCAATATGGTCGTCCTTAATATCAAAGATGCTCGAATGCTTATACTACAATACGTCCCTCTCGCCATTAAACTGAGGCTTCTCACCATTTACTTTGTTCACAAATAAATGTTTCAAAGAAATTTGTCCTGTTTTTTTCTTTGATGTCTCCCTGTAATAGTCAAACTGGTGTTTTTCAGGGATACATCACACAGAAGGAGGAAGGGAGTTGCTGTGGCCGCTGTGTTGCCTCCGCCTGCTTTACACAAAACCCAGATGGAAAACCCATCAGTGTGCAAGTAGGTGCTTTGCAGAGTAGATGATGCCTTGCTCGTAAAACCTGTAATGATGTTATGGATCACGTTATTACAGGAGTTGGTATGGCAACGGTGTCCGTGGTCCACGTTATGATGTAAAAAATGAGAAATGCTTTCATCAGGTTTGTCTACATTGCTGAAATGTAAGTGGGGAGGCAAGAAAAAGACAAGAGGATGTGATTCTTAGTGCCAAAAATCCACACAAACTTAAACTTAAAATATTTCTGATGGCTCATATATAAGTGCTTTGTGTTGTCATCATTGTATGTTCCCATACAATGACAAAATTGGTTCTCTGCATTTAACCAATTGCACCTGGGATACACCCAGGTGGAGCAGTGGGCGGCTATTGGGTGCCCAGGGAGCAATTGGGGATTGGGTGTCTTGCTCAGAGACACCACGACGTGGGAATGGCTGGGAGTCGAGCAGCGACTTTCTGGTCCCGGGTCGGCTGCCCTACCTCTACACCATCTCGGTCCCCCATATTAAATCTCAAGTCAACTTTCAAGGAGCTGGATTGTGTGTATGTGTGTGTATATGTGTGTGTGTGTGTGTCATTGCAGCTAGCTCCTCTTTTAAACCAATTTTCTTCCCATTCTTCATACCTTAGATATAAGGTATAAGACATTCCTAAAGATGGTTGTCACAGACAGGAGGACTGAGGAAAATGGAGAGGAAGAGACACAAAGCAGCAAAATGAACAGATCTATTCATGTACCCGTGTGTGTCTAACACCAGATCAACACGACTAGCGAGGATGGCTGCAACTCGTATGCTTGTGGCATCAACAGCATGGGAGAGATGGTCTTGGAGACCAGAATGACCACTTGCCCCCCTTTTAACCGCCAAGCCTGCCTGGATCAGGGGGTACAGTTCACAAGACTCTCAAAACATTTGCACATTTTGGATTCTGTTTTCAACTATTCAATTATTATTCCTGTGCGATGTTTTTTTTTTACAGGGAACAGTCAGCCAGATTGGAAAAACCTGCTGTGAAACGTGTAAGTGAAGATGTGTATGCAATCAAAGCTGTCGATGCTTGCATTTTAATAAAGATGTACGTTTTAAAAGGTACTGAACCCGAGTGTCGGAGGACGGTGGGAACGCTTGACTACATCAGCACGGATGGCTGCCAATCAGAGCAAAGAATTGAGTTGCGATACTGTGAGGTAACGAGTAACAAACACAAACATTCCTAGTTTTTCAACAGAATTAACCTCTGGCAGTGAAATGGCAACACTTTTCACATGACGCCAACCTTTCTGACTCTTTCCCGTCCTTTTATCTCTTTCAGGGCAAGTGTCACAGTAAATCCATGTACTCGCTGCAAAGTGCTGCTGTGGAGCAGGAGTGTGTGTGTTGTACTGCGGTGCAGACGGAGCCTCTCAGCGTGCCCATCCTGTGTGCCAATGGCACCCGCAGCCACCACACCGTCCTGTCTGTAAAGGCATGCGACTGTCTGTCTAAGCACTGCACCTGAGAAAAAAGAGAGCTTTTAAAGGTTGATGCTTTCTGTTTATCCAAGAAAAAATATACCCATAAAAATCATTACACAAATACCAATAAAACACACGTAACAGTTTCTGTAAGATTCACAGTTTTTGTCTTTGACTCATTTGAAAGCTCGTTTTGAAATAGATCAAGTTTGTAAAAGATGATGTTTGTTGTGATTTTACATATTAGTAACCACTCAAATACTATTAGTTTTATCAAGTGAGCTAATATAGAGGTGGTGATCTCCTACATCTCTTAAAAAATATTACAAGTTGCTTTACTTTTCCTCCACCATGTTGTCAGATATGTTATGATATATTCCACCACCTTCAGCTACTTAGGGCAAGCTGATTTAATATATATTGGTTAAATATGCTCTTCAAAACAGAACCATAATTTAGTATTGACCAGTCAAACTGACCATTCATCTTTCCAGAATGCCATTGTTATTAGTCATGAGTTATATATCCAGAATCAAGTTCAAGCTCAAGTCAAGTTTATTGTCAATCACATCACCTGTGGTACATGAGGTAGAATGAAATTATGTACACAAGGTCCCAGTTACACCTAACAATAGCAAAAATATAAAGTGTAAAAATAAACAGTATACAAGGATCCAAGATATACACTAAGATATAAGCTAAATGAACACCAAATGGTACGCTAAAAGATCTAAGATATACGTTAAACACTAATAATGTAAAACAATACGGCGTAACAACAGCAGTCCGAACATGAGTCTGTGGTGAGCAGATGGGTATGAATGAATACAGCATCATGAGATAATCAGCAGCATGAGAACAGCAGGATGGATAATCAGCAGAAAATTAAAACTTATTCCAAATATTTCTAATGTAATTTTAAATATTTCTCAAAAAACACTTTAACCAGTAAATATATTGGAAACCATCCAGTAGTTTTATGACTAGTTCAAAGACAACTTCAGACAAACAATTTAAATACAAATATCTTAATAATTTTTCATGGGATGGCATTTTATGACAGCTATTTTATTGATATTTACAATAAACATCAAACGACAAAATTACCATTCAAATTTTTAGAAACAATATATTCTGATATGTAGTCCCAGGTCTATAAGCATAATTTTTACTTGTTGAAAAAAGGTTATTTTAGACATCCTTCACATCAGTTTTAATAATGAGAAATGTTGAAATTAAAATGTAAAAGTGTAATCTGCGTTTGTGTTGATTTCATTCAAAAACAGTTTGCTATAATCTTCTAACAGTTTCACATTTTAGGATTTTAAACAGAGCTCAAAAATGACATCACTTAAAAGGTACCCACTAGATAGATAGTTGGGTTCACCTCAACGTGCAGCATGGGCTCCAGAACCAATCTCCTTGAGAGGGGCTGGACCTTACTCTGGACTTGCTCATGGTGAGAGGTGTCGAGCTGGTGTGGGTCTACTCTTAGCCCCATGTCATGGTGCCTGTGTGTTTTCCCCGGTAGATGGGAGGGTAGCTTCCCTGCATCCTCACTAGGGTCCTCAAGGGGTCATGGGAGTTTGCACCTCCAGTCTACATGTGTTTTGTGGACTTGGAGAAGGTGTTTGACCATGTTCCTCGAGATACACTGTGGTTAGTGTTCCACAAGTATGGGAGTGGGTGCCAGTTGCTATGGGCTATTTGGTATCTATACAAGCGGTGCCAGAGTTTGGTTTACTTTGCCAGTAGTAAGTTGGACCACTTCAGGGTATGAGTTGGTCTTTGCCAGGACTGTCTATTGTCACAGATTCTGTTTATAACTTTTATGGACAGAATTTCTCAGTGCAACCAGGGGGCAGAGGGAGTCTGGTTCGGTGGCCTCAGGATTCCATCTCTGCTATTTGCAGATGATGTGGTCTTGTTGGCATCATCGTGCCTTGATCTTCAGTTCTCACTGGAGCAGTTTGGAGCAGAGTGTGAAGCAGCTGGAATGAGAATCGGCACCTCAAAATCTGAGGCCATGGTCCTCGGTCGGAAAAGGGTGGATTTCTCTCTTCAGGTCAAGGGTGATGTTCTGACTCAAGTGGAGGAGTTCAAGTCACTGAGATGCTGTTTTTATTTTGACTGACTCCAAAAGAAAAAAAAAAATTTAATTTAGAACAGACAACAAAATTGCCATCAGCTGCCCGTTATTGAGATGTTAGTTATTGTTCAATTTAATTTGATTTCTGGAGATCATCTCAGGATCTTCAATTTGGTGTTTTGTGACCCACAGTGGTGTCCCACCCCCATCTTTGGGAACCACTTCATTACCATCCATCCATTATTTTCTGCTTGTTCCGAAGTCGAGTCGCAGGTTCAGCAGCTTGAGCAGGGAAGCCCAGACATCTCTTTCCACAGCCACCTCTTCCAGCTCTTCTTGGAGGACCCCAAGGCATTCCCAGGCCAACCGAAAAATGTACCGGTAGTCTCCAGCGTGCCCTGGGTCTTCCCTGGGGTGTCCTCCCAGTCTGATGCCCAAAGCTTTTCCCTAGGAAGGAGCCCATGGAGCATCATATTGTGAACATTTGACAAACAAAAAAACAATTAAAGCATTAAAAAAATTATATTTTTTGGCTGAGACAGCTCTACAACACTGACTAGTTTTTTTGTGGAACAAATATTTTAAAATGGTATTTTTAAGAAGTTAAATAAGATGGTTTCTTTTCCTCCTGAGGAACATGAATACCAGTAGTCATAAAGTTAAAGGGTAAAAACTCTTATTCAAATGTTCACATTATGATGCTTTTGATGTGGATCAAATTTCATGATCTTGTCTGTAGGTACAGAAAACAAAGTGAAGTTTTTGAGCTGCTTGCATTCAGCTGGGACTGCTGCAAGATATATTCAAATTCAAAATACTTTATTAATCACACTGGAAAATTAAATCTGGTTGTAACTCATTTTCCATGTTTCATTAGGGTTGTTATAGATGCTGGTAGGGCAGGAAGGAAGATGAAGAATAAAGATAAGTTCATTGTGAAATAATTTTTATTAGATTCCTGAAAATGTATTATCTCACACTACAAAATTGATTGACAGCTGCTAATGATCATGACTTCACAACTCCTTTCATGTCTGTTATGCTGCTGAGACATTTCCATCAGTGATCAAGTGTTTAAACAGTCTGCATTCACAAACATTTTCCCCACACAGAACATCTATGTGTTTATTTTGGGAAATGACTCCAGTCTCCTACTCTGTGCCATTAGCCTGCTACTCTAAAAGTTATTCAGAAGGCTGTAATAATGCCTACTAGCGCATTTGAACTAAAATGTGGAAGATTAAAACAGCATTTGCCATAAAATGTAAAAATTGTAAATTACAAGCTAATTTCAACTACTTGTGGCATCATCATGCCATTATTGCGTGTGTGTGTGTGTGTGTGTGTGTGTGTATGTATAGTGCAGACAAGAAAAACTTGGTATTTGATTTTATTTTGGGGGTCAGAAGCTAAAAAGTTGGTGAATCATGCACTGCTGTAACATATTCACACTGGAAATGCTTCTTTGCCACCAAAGCCCTATAGTGGCCAGCTGCAGTCATTATAGTGTTTCCTCATAAAGATAATGAGCAAAATTTGTGAAAGGCTGCCAACCACCTTGTGAGTTTATTTACCAACACAAACTGTCAAAGTAACTGAATATAGTTCAGCAATTCACCTTTTTACAGATACTAAGGAGGCACATGCAATAAATCAGGCACATGCATGCCAAAATACATTCATAGCTATTTCTGGTATTCAAGGTTGGCATTCATTTCTAGTCTTTTGGTACCTTACACCTGTTTTTATTTACTTTTATAAATAAAGATATTCCCAAAAATATATTCACTGATATTTTACATTGGGATAGAAAATGTCCTCAACATTGAAGTTGTTAGATGTCAGAATGACAGCCAAGCACAGCAGAAACATATGCAGATATGAACACTGTTTAGAGTGTATTTCAATAAACTGGATGAAGACATGAACATATCTATAATGCAAAATACTTACAAAATAATAAATAATACTTGCAAAATATAATGAAAAATACTTTGAGCTTGCTCTCAGCGAGCAGGTCCTTGGTTCAAACCCCGGTCCAGGGGCCTTTCTGGGTGGAGTTTGCATGTTCTCTCCGTGCATGCGTGGGTTTTCTCCGGGTACTCCGGTTTCCTCCCACAGTCCAAAAACATGCATGTTAGGCTGATTGGTAACTCTAAATTGTCCCTAGGTGTGAATGAGAGAGTGAATGGTTGTTTGTCTCGTTTGTCTCTATGTGGCCCTGTGATGGACTTGCGACCCGTCCAGGGTGTACCCCGCCCCTCGCACAGTGATTGCTGGACATGGGCACCAGCGACCCCCGTGACCCAAAATGGAATAAGCGGGTAAAGAAAATGGATGGATGGATGGACTTTGAGCTTGCACCATGTATATATGAAAAAAAAGGTCAATATGAGAGCCGTTTGGGATTGAGGAGTCCAATAATTAAATGCGTCGGTGCATATTTACACTCAGATTTGTTGAGTGAAGTATGCAGATAAAAGTAACTTTGTTTACATTGAGTGAGTACTCACATTTCAGAAATGCATACCGATAATACACTGCTTGGTCAAAAAATAAGTCACCACCTGGATTTAACTAAGCAACTAGGTACGAGCCTCCTATTGGATAATTACTGCATGGCCCATTATCTTTCAGCTGGCAACAAGTTATTTAACCCCAGCTGGTGCAATGAGCTGCTTCTCATTTCTTAAATAACACATCGCGTGGTCGTGGAAAAGATGTCAGTCTGTTTGAGAAGTGTCAAATCATTGGCATCAAGCAGAGAAAACATCTAAGGAGATTGCAGAAACTACTTAAATTGGGTTAAGAACTGCCCAACGCATTATTAAAAACTGGAAGGATAGTGGGGACCCATCGTCTACGAGGAAGAAATGTGGAAAAAAAATCCTGAATGATCGTGATCGGCGATCACTTAAACATTTGGTGAAATCAAATCTAAGAAAAACAACAGTAGCACTCAGGGCTATGTTTAATAGTGAAAGTAAGAGCATTTACACACACACAATGTGAAGGGAACTCAAGGGACTGG